GAGAGAGAGAGAGATGGAAGCCCAAGTTCTAGATAAATTTCCATGTTTCTCTGTCCAATCAAATAGTAGTATTGATCCTTGTTTGTATTTATTTAGTTTCTTTTTCTTATATTTCTACATGCAGCGCATAGACTTCTAGTGAATTGTAAACAAAATGTAGTTCTTGTATCTTGTTCCTGATTTCTATCATATGAGCTGCAAAAACATTTAGATGATATAACTAAAAATATTAAGTTTTAAAATTATCAATTTTGTTGGAACCAAAGTGTGGTCCTTGTCTATTTAAACAACCAAAGTGTGGTCCTTGTCTATCTAAGTGTTTTACTCTTAGAATTCTTTGTAATGCCCAAGGCATAGTCTCTTTGGTGTTCATAACTTCATATTAATCCCGAAGAAATCCAAGGGGCCAAAATGCCCCAAAGCTGAGCCTAATATGCCTCTGATAAATGATACAATAATTTAGATACATCGTTGCGGCTTACAGATGTTTGCTCGCAAGTAATTGGAATGATTGTACTTTGCATTTGTTATATGGAAACTGGCTATTGTGTTTTAATGTGTTATACACTTGTAATCGTTCTATATGATGCCGTTTGTGCTTCTATATGATGCCGTTTGTGTTATACCCTTGGTAATGCACATTTGGTTCATTAATCTTTTTCTTTGGGTTGATAAACTTTTATAGCTCTCATATGCCCCTAAATGCATTCCCTTTTGACCACTGAATGTTCAATTGGTAATCTGGGCATGTAAAAATTACTTTATTTTGCCTCCCCCTAAATTTTACCTGTAAATTCGACTCTGGAGCCAGTTGACTTGATTGTGTTGTACAGAAAAAAAAAAAAAAAAAAAAGAACTTAAAGAGACCCTTATATGATTTTCAAGAATATTATGCTGCCTGATTACTGTGATCTGGGTTGGGGTGAAATTCGAACGGAAAAGTATAGAATGAGACCATTTACCTTTGATACAAGGTGGTCACATTAATCTTGACCATTGGATGTGAAATTGGGTGGCTGCAATTATTCCATTGACTAAGCTCAAACTTCAAAAGAAATTTTTTCGAATTTTGTGAGACATCCAAGCTATCAAATTTTACATCATATGGTCGTAAGGAATTATGACCACTTAGGTAAATGGTCTTATTGTATACAAACCCAATTTGAACACAACCTAGTTAACCAAGGCTGAGAAACCCCAATTATCAATCCATGAAAAATTACATTAAAGAGACAAGCTATCATTTGAAAAGTAGTGAACAGTTCACAGAAAAAAAGGACTTAAAAATGCTTTTCCACAGGGCCCTCTTTGAATGGACACTGAGAGCTCCACTGTATCTCACAGTGGTGGGTGCCACTGCAAGCGTGTGAGATGGCGAGCCGAGGCGCCACCAAGCATCGTTGCGTGGAAGTGCAATTGCTCTGATTGCTCGATGCGAGGAAACATTCATTTCATCATCCCAAATGCCAAGTTCAAGCTCGAGAGCGGGTCCCATGAGTGGATTACTACTTATACATTTGGGACCCATAAAGCAAAGCACACATTTTGCAAGGTTTGTGGTATAACTTCGTTCTATGTACCTCGCTCTAACCCCGATGGGATTGCAGTGACAGTTAAGTGCGTGGACCCTGGCACATTGCGCCATGTGGAGATTAGGGATTTTGATGGCCAAGATTGGGAGGGTTCTTATGCAAGGAGTGATATTGTGTCGTTTTCGAAGATGGGGGTTGAAGGGTCAGTGTGATGGTTTCTTGGAGTGAGTTTGTGTGTGTGCTGCATGTGAGGTTGGAGCAGGGGAGACTCAAGTTTCTTGGTGGGGCAGGCAGAGGCTGGAGAGAGAGACTCATTTTTTTTTGGTGTGGCTGAGAGAAAGAAGGCATTTGATTGAACTGGCATTAAGAGAAAGAGCCTTAGGTTTGTAAGGCGAAGTGGATTCAGAACATTAAAAAGCACTATTAGCTAGACTCATTGGGTGTGTAGATGAGTTTGGCTTATTACTATACACTTTCCTCAGAAGAAATCATCTGAACAGTCGAAATGGCATAGGCCACATTCGTTTGAGGAGAAATCTAAATCATTCATTTCAAGATGAGACCGGTTCATCAGAATCAGATCAATTCCCTACTTCCAAAGAGTTTTTGCTTAATAAACACCCTTGTCTGAAAAGGAAAAGAAAGAAAAAAAGAAGGAAGAGGCGAGATACAATTTTCTTTGAGACGAGTCTACATGTGAAAAAGGAGGTGGGCATGATAGAATTTGTTGTTAATGCTGTTTAAGATGGTATAGATGGTCTTTGTTTTCAATGCAATTTAATGACAGGCAGAGCGTTCAAACATTCAGTCATTATTAAATGATGTTTGATTCTCACTGCTTATATATTTGGATACTTTGTGTATTTATTTGGACAGTGTAGAACTTTCTGAAAAAATGAACAGGTGAGAAAAATTATTAATAAAATAATAGTAACTTAAATATAACAGTGTATTAATATTATACTATAGTTGTAACTTTACAAACATGAATAAACATGTTTTGTTCATAGTTTCATTATGATAATTATATGAAATTATGAATTAATTATTAAAACTACACTTAAATAACAGATAATTATTATAATAGTCATACACATAAATATTATTGTCAACTAGTAGTAATATAGTTGTGATAATGGAGTACTTGGGATCGGCAGAATTGGCAACTGCGGTTTGTCTGCCTTCTGGTTCTTCTTTTGTCGGCCTTTATGTGTGCATTTATTGATTTTGAAATAGAGTAGGCATAGGCTTTAAGGACTTTCATCTTCTCCTTAAGAGAAGAATGACCATGGATTTGGTTTTGAGCAGCTTCATAATGGGAAGAATTTGGTTGGAAGATAAAAGAAATTTTTGATCGTGGTTATATTATATTAATAAAAAATGAAAAGAAGTGTAATTAAATATGATGAATATATTACAATGAGATAAGTAGTAACTATAGGTTAATAAGAATATTATTTATTGCGTCAAAAAAATAAGAATATTATTTATTATCTTATTTATAGAGATATTTTTCCGTTGATATTATTTACTTGGTATGTATTCTAATATATAGTCTCGCCATGGTAAAAGTATAAAATATATGCAGGGAATAATTATAATACATAATTAAGAAAATAATAATTATTATATCAAATTAATAATTAAATACACTTCTTTTCATATCTAATAATAATTATAATTTTATTAATTTTTTTATTTATTTTAGGATTATGTTAGCATATTCATATGTACGAGTATTTCTTTAATGTACAATATTTTAGACATTTATCGTCTCTTATTTTGTAATATAAAGCTTTTGAGTAAATACATTTTTTATTATGAGAGGTATGACAAATATTTCTATAATAAACTATTGGTATTTTACTAGCGATTTAGAAATAATCATTGTTCCATGTGGTGTTGTCACGTCTCATTTGAATAGTGTCGTCTTCTATGATAGTTAATAAATGTTTATCTTTCTATCAAGAATTTATGTTTTATCTCTAATTGATTACCTAAATTACCCCTACGCAAAAAGGTTACTACATGGTAGGGTAAATGTATCAAGTATTTAAAAATGTTGAATACCTTAAGAAAATACTCCTATATATGAGTATCCTAACCTAACTGTTCATTTTATTAGGTTAATTACACGTCTTTTCATTTTTAATAATAATTAATTATGCATAGTTATAATTATGTTTACATGGTGTTGCACATATTTACTTCAATGCTATTAATGTATTTAGTTGTATAATGACAATTGTAAGAAGTTATATACTTAATAAAAATATTCTAATAATTTAATATTACTCACCAATTAATAATTAAAATTGCAGTCATTATTTTTTATTATAATTATTATTTTCCATATATAAGATCTTAAAAATTTTATTAGTTAAAATTGTTGAAGGAAAATGTTTATATAAGGGTGAGGCTCTAAACAATCAAATTAAAAAGCACTTCAAAAATTTATGGGAAGAGGTTGTTTCAATGCCTAAAAATCCTCAAATCGACCAGCTTGACCTCAAGATGTAAGGACATGAGAAAACATAGATATTAATTCTTGGAAATAGTGCATCTTGTAATGTATTTTCTAGACTATCAATTTTCAAGTGCTCATAGACCTGCATTATTTTTGAAGATTTAAATCTTATAATTAGAGATCAAAATAAATTTCTAGGCTATCACAAATATTTCCAATACTAAAACATCTTTCAACACAATTTGAAGGTGCTCCTTACTTTGATTGTTTAGGGCCTCAGCTTTATACAAACCACACCCATTTCTAATAAACTATAGTATTTTGATGTTGTATATATTATTAACATCAAATTAGAATATTAATTAAATATGATATATTATTGACACAAAATTAGAATCTTAATTAAATAATGTAAATATGTTATACGTGTGTAGGTATAGTTACGCTACTTAATTTGCTTTATCTATTTTTTGTGATATTAGAAAATAATGTACAACCACATTTGTTTTTTGGTCAGAAATATTATTTTGTCACTAATATTATTTTGGAAAATTGTTTGGAAAAATTACATAAAACCCTCAAAAGTAGACTTTCTAGGCACTTTACCCCACCTTAATTTTTCTTAGCATATTTTTCCCAAAAATCAAGTTTTATAGCAAATACCCTCAATACAAAAAGTTAAATTTTTATTTATTTTTATGAAAATACCCTTCCTAGACATAACAAATCATTTTCGGATCCCAATAAAAGGAAGCGCCAGACAATGGTTGTATATTATCGGCCCCATCCATTTGGACCGGAATTGTACACTGTCGGGCCTCCTATTCCAAGAACAATTTTCAATTATGCCGAACCGTAGCTCACAAATGCCGTACCGCTCATTAATCTAGAAACACTTCCAAAATCTCGGATTGCCATGATGAAGTGCTGGACTGCCATGGTGAAGTGCTGGATCGTTCCAAATTAGTGACAAGTGTCGAACCGCCTCTTTCAAACGCCGGACCACCATGGTGAAGTGCCGGACCATCATGGTGAAGTGTTGGACCGCTATGGTCAACATGTGAGGTAAGGGAAGTGTATTTTAATCTTTTTTTTTTTTTTGAGTTGGGGAAAATAGTTGCTAGAAAAAGTTAGGTTGGGAGTAAATTGCTTAGAAAGTCAATTTCTGAAAGTTTTATGCAATTTTCTCAAATTGTTTCATGCGGGCTGGACCGCATTTCTATAATATGTGGTCCTAAGGTATAAAACATTCATTTTAAAAATGGATGCAAATAAGTGGTCCATCTGAAAACAATTGAAACTAACGGTCCAAATGTTTTCTTAATAGAATTATTATTTCTAATTTTCAAAATTTATTTATTTTTTCATATTCCGAATCTCCAAGTTAGAGATTACAAGTCCTTAAAAATTAAGTCAAAAAATCCATCTCAAAAATATATTTTAAAGAGTTGACTGATTTCTGCTTGGACTCATATAAACCGTGTTCTATTATTTTTCACTATATGTTTATCAATATCGTATCATGAATAACTTTTCAATGAGATTTGTGAAGCAAGTGTATCGTAAATCATTCTAATATAGAACCATTTTGTTGGCAGTCAAACTATATTATATAGTCAGATTAAGTGTCATTACAAAGCAGCGGGCCTAAAAAGCGCTTTCCGCTTTTCTTGCGGTTTTACCCCTAATTCGACGCTCAGCTTTCCCGTTCTTTTTTTTTTTTTTGTCTTTTTTTTCTTCTTTCTGTGTTTATGTTTGTGGAGAGAAAGAGAGAGAGCTAGCTGTGCATCCGTATGAATCTTTCTGTGTTTATGTTTGTGGAGAGAAAGAGAGAGAGCTAGCTGTGCATCCGTATGAATCTTAGATGATTGGAATTTTTTTTGGGTAATTTATTTGGAGAGACAGGCCTTACTTATTTTTTCAAATAGTTTAAGAGTTAAGTTTATTTAAAGTATAAGTAAGATTAGGGTGTCGGGGTGCTATTACCACGACCCCAACCCCTTTCCCATGGAACTTTTAGTATGGTCTCATATGCCTTCTGCTTTAGCTTATCAGTCTTGTATCTTTACTGTGATTCCTAATTGATCATTTGAGACCCTAGGATATGTAAGTTCTTCTTTTGTATATCAAAGTTTTGATTGCTTAACATCATTTGGGTGTACTTTTGGAGATTATATCCAGGATATCCACATCCTCAAAACATATCATATTCATATTTAGCATTTGCTCATTCCAAAGAAAACTTGGAATGAGCAAATTCAAATTTTTGAAAAAACTAGCTTTTGCATGGCACGTACCTCCCCCCTTTTTCTTTTTCTCTTCATAATAATGGCTAGTAATATACACGTGTGTTGCATGTGATATTAATTATTAATTATAAAAATAAATTTTTATTTTGAAATAATATTTTAAAATGACTTTAGATTATAGAGAGAGAAAGCTTCTAATAGATCCATCTTCACATAATTATATAGAGAGATGATAGACCTACTTTGCTGATCATATTTGATAAAAATAATTGAAAAACGATACAGTAAATACAAAAATATGAATATTTATCTCTTATTCTAATTTAATGCCTTCTGCTTATTTATGAGGCAAACCATAGCCCAAAAACTTCTTTGTTATGTTTTTTTTTTTAATTAAATTATTCACTAAATTAGTTTTACTTATATTACTATATATTATTTATTTATAAGTTTTTCTTTTTATAAATTAACAAACTAAAGATGCAAAAAAGAAAAACAATAAAGAATAATCTTTTTCTCTTTTTCATTTAGCAATATAAGTTTTTTATTATATTATTAACTTATATAGTTTGAATTGTGATTAATTATTTTTTGGTTGTTTATATTATTGGTTATGTTATCTTTAATATAATTAATTTTATTTTTAATTACAAAAGTACATATATTATTCATTTATAAAAAATTATTAAAAAATTAGAGAATATGAAAATACAAAAATATTTCACACGATACATATAATAAAATTATAATAAACATGTAACTATCGCAATCAAAACTAATCATAGTGTTGGAATTATTTATTTTTCCTCCTTTTATGATGGTAAATTTTTTCTTCTTATTTTTTAATTTTATTTTGAATTTTAAAAATTATAAAAAAAATACAGATAGAAAATGAAAGATATAGAAGAAGAAAAACAAAAATGAATAAGGCGAATTGGAGCAGTTTTTTTTTCAATTACTAATTATAGTAATACTATAATTTTTTATTTTTTATTTACCGAGGTGGCTTGCATTTTGAGGTAGTTTCTAACTATAAAATAATTTCAATTATGTTAGTACCTCTATAATTTGTATTTATGGTTAATTATGATTATCTTTTTTCTTATTTTTTGCATTTACAATTATATCATTCATTAATATAAATTGAAT